GAGAGAGAGAGAGAGAGAGAGAGAGAGAGAGAGAGAGAGAGAGAGGGACAGAGACTGAACACTGAACCCAGGGTCTTCACATTGAGCTACATCCCCAGCCCTTTCTTACTTTTTATTTGAGACGGGGTTTTGCTAAGTCATTCCAGGGCCCAGGCTGGGCTCTAACTTGTACTCCTGCTGCCTCAGCTTTCCAGAGTGTTGGGATCACAGGTGTGCACCACCACACCTGGTTCTGTGGGTTTATCCCAGGTCAAGGTGTCTCCACCTCACCTAGATTGACACCTGGGGACTAGTAACTCTTTGTTGAAGGGCGGTCCTGTGCTGTAGTCTCCACCCACTACTGCCAGTTGCACCCACCCCCACCCTGGCTTGTGACAACCATGAACACCTCCCTCCAGACATCACTGAGTGTCTCATGGGGCCAAGTCACCCCAGGCTAGAACCTCTGTCCGGGCAGTGTGCCAGCCTTACTAGTCACCACCCAGAGACAGGTACTCCTGCTCCCTACCCTATTGCTCTGGAATGCATTGTTTGTTCCGAAGAATGTAGACTCTGCCCCGAGAGTCTTGTGAGACGCAGCTGCTGCCCTTGATCAGCACAACGTGAGCCCCAGGCACCAGATAAACCCGCTGCTGGCACAGTGGGATTTGCCCCTTGTGGTGGTTCTACAGAGCAAGAACTACCAGAAACTGAGGTTTAGCACAGCCAAAGCCTTTCCCATTCGCTGGACAGGACAGGACAGGACAGGACAGGACAGGACAGGACAGGACAAGACAGTGAGGGCCCTTTGGGCTGCACCCCTAGCTGCCCCACGTCCCCGAGACCCAAGCCATCTAGAAGGTGTTTTCCAGGACCATCCCAGACATGACTCCATGCATGTGTGTGAGCTACACAGTGGTAGTGAGTCTGGGGTGTGCACATCTGTACGTGAGTGTGACGCATGCGACCAGCGTGACACAAGCACACTGTCTTAGAAGGGTCTGCACAGAAGCCAGCCCACTTCAGCCATCCCCAAGCCCCACAACCATGGCAGGCCCCACTGTGTGTGGTAAGTGGATCCCCGTGGGACTGTGCTCAAACCCACTGCAGTCCCTGCCAAGGATCTTGAGCCCGTGGGGCCCAGGCAGGCCCGATGAAGATGTGCATTTCCGGGGGTGGCAGCTCTCCCTGGGTGACCCAGGACGAGTGTTTCATAATATGGGCCAATCCGAAACAGCACCCACCCTACCCAAGCCATCCCCCTCCGAAGACCAAAAGTGGACAGGCAAATATCAGTGACTACCTCTGGGGCTCAGAAGCGAAACGTGGCCCTCCCGGAGAGACACATGGGAGCCTCGCTGCTCTCTCTGTGGGTCTTTCCAGCTGGTTTACAGCTCCACGTGCTCCCCTGTGCTTATGTAGGCAGGACATCTCCTGGACCCATTAATTACAGCCAGCACTCTTGCGGGAGAAACCCAGCAAGGCAGAACCCTCTGTTCTTGAAAAGCAGGCCACACTCCTGAGCAGCTGCACCCCAAACTGACCCAGAGAAGACAAATCAAAGTGCAGTGATTGGAGGTTTCCTGCTGCTCTGCCAGATGTAAACACACGTGTCCCCAAGGCTGGTTCCCGGGGGGGCTGATGGGCACCCCAGGAGGCTGCTCGGAGGTCCTAAGGCAGCAGCCCATGGATTTGATGCCTTGGTGCTCAGAGGATCTTATGTCTGCATTCCTGTGGCAGTGCCATCCTTCCTGTCGGGTAGGATACCTGGGGAATAGGAGAATAAGCTGCTTACACACCAAGCCAGGCAGAAAGCATTGAACGCTGATTCACTGACAGCAGGAGGGCTACCCTGGCCACCACACCTTTGATGTCCACCTGCTGCCTCCCGCGAGGAAGGGCTTTAGGGCTTAGGGTGGTGTGAGGCTCCAGAAAGTGGCACTAAGGAATCAAAAGCATGGCTCCAAGCTCCTGTCCTGGGCTTGCCACATCAGATAGTGCCCCTGGGGTCCAGAGACCATCACTGGCTGACATTCTGGGGGTCCTCACCACCTCAGGAGGCTGGCTGGTGCTTTTAAAGTTCTGTCCACCAAAAACGTGCCCAAAGAATGAACCTGAAGTGGGAGAAGTTCAGACCCTCAGGTTTCTGGACCCCAGGAGAACCAGGGGCTTCTGTCAGTCCCTTCTTCCTCCCAAGCTGTCCCCCAAGCCTACACCTTGCACTCGGCTCCTTCTGCTCCTCTGCGTCCACCTCCAAAGGCCAGGACAGTAGTTTTTTTCAGACTAAGAGATGAGCCCTCTCCCTGCTGTATGTTCTGCACCCTTGGCTTGGGCCTCTGTTTCCCCCCATTGCTCCAGGACAGGGTACTTCAGCCAAAATCAAAGGAAAGGTCCCGCGCTGCAGATAACTGGGGACCAGTGAGCAGGTCTCCGGGTCCAGGCAGGGCGAGGAAGGAGATTTCCAGAATCAACAGAAAGCACTTAGTTGCTGGAATGTCTCCAGGATGAGAACAAGAGGCCACACCCTGGAGACAGCAGACTCCAGAGATACCTCAGGGGCTGAGGCAGTAGAGTCACCATGGCCCGGGCCTGTGAGGAGACTGCAAAATCCCCTCAAAGATTCGACTGGAGAACAAGACTCTGTAGAGTTCATGTCCCGCTGCATCCTCTGCGCTTCAGTGTGGAATAGCTAGGTGACCACTACCAGTGGCAGAGAGCGAGAAAGCAGCCCCCTCAGCACCGCACAGTCACACACTGCAAGGCAGAGCAGAGGGAGCCGCTCTAACCGGGCAGACCTGCTTGAGGACCAGCAGGGAGCAGACATCGCAGTGTCAGGGTGGACGGATGGCCACCAAGGGCAGGTTCCCACCCACCCCACACGGTGGACAGTAACTTGCCTGGAACTCCAGGGGGACGAGGGGCCCTGCACTGACTCCGCTGGGACCTCAGAACAGGTGCACACATCTACAGCACACTGGAGCCTGGAGACAGTTACTTACACCCACCCTGCCCCTCCCCCAGCTTGAACTACTGTCAGAGTGTTTCTGTCTGACTGTGGACCACCAGAACCTTCAGAGCCCATGCGGGGTCCCATTGTCAGGGGCACACACTGGGCCCTAGAGGCCCCGCGTACAGGTGTATGGACACCTGAGGACATGTATGAGCAGGTGTGAAGAACTAAGTTACAGCCTGGTGCTGAAACACTAGGCTGCACAGCCCCTTGCAGGGCACAGGTACAATCCTGCAGCCAGCAGAGTCTGTGGGCCCTTGTGGACTTTGGAAGCCGCCAGCTGTGAGTCTGTGGGTGAACCCAAGAGCATGGGGCTTTCCTGCAGGACAGCACCCCCAGACTCTCAGGTGAGGCCAGAGCATCAGCCGAAAGATGGATCTCACCCGAGCCAGGGGTGGTAAGGGCAGCATTGAGAGCAGACCCTTCTCTGAGTTCCTGCCCAGGTGCCGAGTGCTGGCCACCGCCTTTCCTGTGGCCCCATGCACAGTGGGTGAGGCAGGCAACAGCCAATCTCGGGGGCTCTCCCAAACTCCTAGTGAGGATGCAGGCTGATCACGTGTTCTGCAGACTGGGAAGAGGCTCATTGTATGGTCTGGAGAGGGTTCCGGTGGCCTCCCGTGTCCATGGCTCCACTTCCCATGGCTCCAGTTACCCATAGTCTTAAAATACTAGCTGGAAAATTCCAGAAATTATTCTTAAACTTTAATATCATATGTTCTACTATAATATTACTATCACTTCCTTACTGTGCCTAATTTATAAACGAAAACAGGTACATATGGACAGGAAAGATCATGTAGAAGGGTCCATTCTTTCCAAGGCTCCAGGCACCCACTGGAAGCCTTGGGCCACATCCATGGAGGACAAGGGGGACCACTGTGACTAACTGAAAAGTGCGCACAGCATGTGTTACCTTGGAAGGGTCCTGTGGAAAGGAAGGGAGACTAGGGCGGAAACCTCAGCCCCTCAGCCCACGGGACTCACGGGGCCGCCATGCCTGGTACCGGAAGCACACGGGTGTTGAGATGAGGACACGAATCCCGGGCCTGAAACCGGCCAGTGGACAGCACATCCTCTGCCCAAACGCGCCCTGCACGGCCACCTCGCTGCTGCTGTACCTGCCAGCCGTCTCACTCCCCAAACACATCTGCACCCGAGAATCTCGTTAAGAACAGACGAGCCTCCTGCTTCCCCTCGCGCCACCCCGCCCTCGCTGAGCCACTGGGACTCGCTCTGCGGCTGTTCTCCTCTTCACACGGATGTACCCCGCCAGCCCGCGCAGGCCTGTGTATCCTCCCATCACTACCGTGCCGGCTGAGCACGCCTTCAAAACAGGACAGGTGCTGCTTTAGGAAACAAAACCATCTTTATTTCTTATTAAAAAAATAAGTTACAAATTGAGAGAACTCTCTGTTCGTTTTGGGCACAGGTTTGCAGTCCAGAACAGCCTGGTTTTAAACATCACTTTACAATACTATGAATGTCACAAACTGCGTTACGGAGCAGTTTCTGTCCCGTGTCCTGTGCGGGTACAAAGCACCGCACAGATATAAAACTATCGTAAATAGAACATTTGAGCCAACACTGGCATATACTTATATATATCTTATATATACATATATATATATCATTTCAGATCAGCTAACAATGTTGTCATCCTTAGTCAAGACTGAAGTCAAACTAACCTTAAAACTATACCAATCTGGATATGTCAGCATTATATCTCCCATACAATATTTAAAATATATTTTAACTTTCAATACACTTACAAGGTACACCAATAGTGAGAAAATAAAGTCTTAAAACTTAAATACAAGTCACCATATGAAAAAAACATCGGGACACAGGAGGTCCTATTTTACAGGCGCCCAGGTGGGCCGGCCTGAAGCCGCTTTCCATGCACAGCGCTGTGTTTGTTCTCTCCTTGCTGTAAAACTGTCAGACTGCTCAGCTGGGCAACAGCCTCGTTGGCCGGAGAAAGGACACACCATGTCACACTGCTCCTCTTTGCGTGACCCAAGCATCAAAACCCAGAGCTACTCTGCTCGCCTTCAGAAACCAAGTGGCCCGATGCCCCTGTCCTCACAAGCACACACGTCCCCAGGCCTCCGCAGAGCAGCTCACTTGGTGTTTTGCTCCAATGCCGAGTACTCCGTCTCAGACACTCTGGAGGCATCGATGAGCTTGGTGAGGCCGGTTTTGGCTGAGTACTTGAAAATGAAGGCCTTCATCAGCTCGTACCTGTAGTTGCGGTTGATGAAGCTGTACAGCACGGGGTTGACGCAGCAGTGCACCAGCGACAAGCACTGTGTGACATGCAGGGCTGTGAAGAGTCCGTTCTCCAGCTGGCAGGTGAAGGGGATGTAGTGCAAGATGGAGAAGATGTCCAGGAGCACCACGACGTGGTAGGGCAGCCAGCACACGAGGAACACCACCACGTAGGAGAAGATGATCTTCCGGCTGCTGTGCTTTTCCTGGTCGCCGGACGCCGAGATGGCTCTGGCGAGTAGGAAGTAGAAGACGGCGATGACGGAGAAGGGGACAGCGAAGCCCAGGATGACGGAGACCAGCTCCATGCCGATGAGCCACTCCTTGATGTTGTGCTCGGGGTAGAAGGACCGGCAGTAGGTCTCGTTGTTGGATGCAGATGTGACGGTCTTCAGGTAGTAGGTGTCAGGCAGGGACACGCAGAAGGCCAGTAGCCACACCAGGACGCAGACAACACGCCGCACCAACTTCTTCTTGCAGCTGGAAGTGCTGGTGAAGTAGGTGATGGAGAGGTAGCGGTCCACGCTCATGCATGTGAGGAAGAAGATGCTGCCAAAGAGGTTGATGGAGAAGATGAGGTGCGTGACCTTGCAGGTGAGCTCGCCCATGGGCCACTGGTTATGCTGCACCAGGCTGACCACCCACACCGGGATGGTGATGACCACCCACAGGTCCGCGATAGCCAGGTTCAGAATGTAGCAGTGCGTGTCGTAGCCTGTGGTCTTGGCCTGGATGTTCACCCAGACCACCACGGAGTTGGCGATCATGCCGATGACGAAGATGAAGATGTACAGGAAGGAGAGCGTGTAGAGCAGCACGCTCTTGTGGGGCATGATGGGGCACTGCATGGTGTCCACCACGATGCAGTCGCTGCTGTTGCATGGCCAGCTGATGTCCGAGTAGTTCCCCGGCTCTGAGTAGTCAAAGAGGTGTAGATCCATGGTCTAGAGCGGGCGGCTGAATAACCGACAGCAAAACCCACCAGGAAAGCTGGAAGAGAAAAAGCGCTTTATTAGGAACGGCTCACGTTTCTGTCAAAATGCTTACCCAAGGCCCTCAGTGCTCCCTTAGCTCTGCAGCATCTTCCCAAAGGGGAAAAGAAAAAAACTGTAACAGAACCACACAGTGACAGTAAAACCCACCCAAGGCCAGTCCACTTGGCCCTCGCAAGAGGAGCGGTGTTTGCTTTCTGTCTTTTCATGGCTGTGTTCTCCACACATCAGCAGCCCTGCTGCACCCAGGGTGTGAAATCTACATGGTGCGGGGCCAAAGAAATGTCAGATGGTGGCGCCTGGGCCACAGCAAGGCTAACGGCCACCTGGTCTCGGCGGCGCGGGGAGAGTGTCCCTTCACCACCCTCCCCGAGCACAGCAGGGCCGATCTCCTCCGGGCATGCACGTGCAGCAGTGTCCTGCTTTGGTGTCTTAAAGAAAGCATCTCAGCCCCTCTTCAAGTCTGCATTTAAGACATGCCTCAGCACCTTCCGCTTTTCCTCAGGACTCACTCACAAGCTTGACTCTTCTGCTGCTCTCTGCTTGCGGTCACCAGGCCCCTCAAAATAGGCCGGCACATGTGAGACACGCCCCCCCGACTGTGCCCCAAACCTGCAGACCCAGGTCTGCGTGGGGGTTGCAGCTGAAGCCAACCAGCCAGCTTTCTCCAGCTCGGGGTCCTCCCCTGGTTTTCCGTTTCTTTATTTGTTCAGAAGAAACGGGTGCCAAGACCCAAGCCCAGAAGCCACCACCTGCTGCATTTCCGAAGGGCTGACAGTCTGTCCACTGTTTTCCCTTGGGACCTGACGTCGGGCCTCACACTCCGCTGTCACCAGTTCACAGCCGGTGAGAGCTCAGTCGCAGGTGCCACTGGCCTGGGGAGCAATTTCTCCACAGACACACGGGGGCTGCCAGGACTGTCACCCACGGTCTCTTTGTCCACTAGAGGGCCCTGAAACCCTCACGGCCACAGTCCTTTACCAGCTGCCACTGCCTCACCTGACCCCGCTGCGTGACCGGGTGGAGATTGAGACAAACGTCAGCCAACAAAGAGCCCCAGTTAGGATGTGGTTCTCCACTTGGGCGATGGAGAGTCTGGCTTATCTGCCAAGGTCCCCTTGAGCGGGCGCCAGCTTCTTTCCACAGGAGGACGCTGGGGAGGCCGTGGGTGGACCCCAGGCGGCCGCGCCCATGACGTGAGAAACCACAGCAGGGAAAGCAGCAGCCGCCAGCTGAGACATTCCTGCGTCGGGACTCTGGCTCCTCTGTTCATTAGTGTTTAACTCGAGACTCACCGGTCAGCCCTCTGGGTCCACTGTCCAGGTCAGCAGCGCCCGTCAGGCTTACCTCAGGGACAAAGGGCCCCGAATGTGGCAGGCGTCCAGTAGACGCTCGGAGAAATTTCACCCGCCAACCCCACCCAAGGCCAGGGGGAAAGCTGGCTGGGCATTCTCTGGCCAGAAGTCATCAGTTTTTTCCCTTCAGCAAAAATACATGAGCTCTCCGGAATGTTTCCACGCTGGAGACTGGCCGAGTAACGAGCACCCCGGCACAGGGGTGGGGACCTGGCTCTCACAGGACTGGGGTGTCGCTCCTAACTGGTTTGGTGTCCCCTGGGGCTGACAAAAGTCCCAGCTTTCCATGATGGCCACTTCCCCTCCCGGCTCTGAAAGCCCTCGTGGTGGGGCCACTGGCCGCACAGCAGAAGCTTGACCATCCGCAGAGTCACCCAGAAAGTGGACTCCAAGCCTGTGACCACCGATCTGTGCAACAGTGCCCAATGGCCCAAGGGGGGACCGGGGAGGAAGGCAAGCTGGAGACACTGGCCCCTGCCTAACACACAGCTCTAAGGGCTCCGGAGGACACGGGTCCAACAGGCTGCCTAGGACGCCTCCCTGACTGGCCAGCCTGCCTGGAAGCTGGCACTGCCTCCTCCCTTGGCCTTTAGACGGCCTGGCATACAAGGCTCTCTCCTTGTGAGCCGTGGAAACTCGAAGCCACTGGACAGCAGGGGTGCTCAGATGGGCACCAAGCCACTGCTCCACAGCACAGCAGCAGAGGTCAGTGACAGGGACAGAGATGGCCACAGATCGTGGGCCCAAATGCCAGAAACAGCTCAGAGCCTTCCACAGCCTGCACGTGGCGTTCAAAGCCTCCCCACAGGTCTCTCCACACCTGGAGACTCTTCCGTCTCAGCCTCTTTGCCCCAGACACACCACGTCCCCTGTGGTGTAAGGACAGCCCCACGCAGGGGCACAGAAAGAGTGCACGCCGCCTCTCCGGGCGTGGAGCACTCTCCTAGGTCCCACCACCGTCCCCACGGAACCAGCTCTGACTCTTAGCAGGCAGGCTGCCAGTCGCGGCATCCTTAGAGCCCAGAGCCACAGCGGGAGAGCGTGGGGACCCCGACTCAGCCCCTTGGCTTCTGTCACTGTGCCCTGGGCAGAGAATGTTTGATCTCCTGACGACTCCCCAGAGTCGCAAGCAGATAGGCAGCCGTCCTCCTACCACGCCCTTCTCTCCCCTGCAGGGCATCGTGGAAAACACCCCTCAGGGTGCGGCTGCTCCTGCCCAAGGCAGCAGGAAGGGCAGGGGCTGGGAGGCCCTGCGTGGCCCTGGCCCCCATACGCCAGTCACTCACCAGCAGTCAGCCGCCGACCAGCCCAGGCAGCAGGCAACACCGGCCAGGCCTGGCTGGGAGATGAAGCCAGAGAGCCACACCCCGCCCCTCGCCCTCCCGGGGCCTGGGTGGACCGCACTGCAGGCGGCGTCAGTGGGCAGACAAGGATGGGGTGCTCAGAGAGAAAGGAGACCGAGCAGAGCGAAACGCCCACACCCTCCGCACAGCAGCGTGCTCGGGAAAGCGAGAAATCGAGAGTACTGCAGGCGGCCTGGCCTATGGTCATCCCGGGAATTTTCACGCGTTACAGCGTGTGGAAACAAACCAGGGCTCTTTCCAGAGAGGACCGCGTTAGACACGGACAGCCCTGGGTTCAGCACGGGAGGCGCCCTGTCCTGCGGCTGGGTGGGCGGGGCTGCTGTCACCTAAGCCGCGCTGGTTCTCCGTCCACTGCTGGAGCAAAGAACATCCCCAACCGGAACAAAGGTGTGACGGGGTGACCTGGGGCGGCTACCCCGAGACAGCCCGGTGCAGAGCCCCCCGCACAACTGAGACTGGAGTTAGGGAGAGGGCTTGGGGTGCTCTGGACTCCCACAGCCCCACCCAGGGCCTGGGCACCCCGTTTCCCGCCCACCTGACAGCCAGCCCCAGGCTCCTCTCCTCTGCATAGACTGTGCAACTGGGCAGTTTGTGCTGGACCCAAGGAGCTCACAGGAGACATCCCAGGACACTCAGCCGCTGCTGGGACCGACCACAGCCCCATCTCTGTGGGCTCCAGGCCAGAGCAGAAGGAGGCTTTGTCGCAGACCTGCACCCAGTCTTATACCTCAGGGAGATGAAGCCACTCAAGGTCCAAGGTCTTTGCACAAAGGGCTCTGGGGTACGGCCAAGGGGCTCAGAAGAAAGGATTTTCTAGTTCTATGATTTTACAAGTTCACACATTTCCCCTTTTGAATTTGCCTATGCCCACATGTATTTACTGACACAGTATTTACGACTGGAGAAAATCACCAATAACAGAAATGCCCATCCACAGAGGAATGGTCCATAAAGTATGGTGGGCGTGTCCACCGCCTGGAAGGTGATACAGCTGTCAAGAGAGGGAGAACCGCTTTTGTGCACAAGGAGAGTCAGGACACGCTATGAAGTGAAGGGCGCTGCACACACACATGCCACGTAACCCCACTGATGCAGGGTAAAAAGCAAAATGATGGGCAGTTGTATATGCAGACACTTGTGCGTAAAGACACAGGAAAAGGTCTGCACTAAGAGCCAAAGTTTGGGCGGGGAGCTGAAGGAGGATACAAAGGGAGAGTTGCAGTTTTGACTCCATCCGTGTCTGTGGTGTTTGGAATGTGACATCACGAGTTATATAAACTGTAAGGAGGGAACCGACCCATGAGACAGTAAAGGTCCGTGCTGCCTTTTTCTGAGAATGGAAGGCAGCAGAGGCCGGTTTGCCTCCCTCTGTCCTTCGTTTCCTGTCTACCAGGGCCACTGCCTTGCTGGGGGTTGAGCCCAGGGCCCTCACACTGAGCTGTATCCGCAGTTCTTCTGCAAATTGCTTATTTTGAGACAAGGTCTCACTCAACTACCGACTCGCCCAACTTGGGCTTGAGCTTGCGATCCTCTTGCCTCAGCCTCCGAGTGCAGGATTACAGATGTGCACCACCACACACACGCACACACACACACACGCCACCTCCCATTCAGCAGGGGAAGACTCCTCCCGCTAGATGAGCCCCAAACTCCCACTCTGCAGGTGTTTGCAGGGCTCGCTCCTTCTCCACTCTGCTTCTACTCAGCCAGCACCTCCCAATACCTAGGTCTCAGTCATTCTTTTATTTATTTATTTGTACACTTACTTATCTATTTATTTACTTCATGGTGCTTAGGATTGAACCTAGGGTCTCAAACATGCTAGGCAAGTGCTCTACCACAGAGCTATGACCAATACCTTGTCATTTTATTTTATTTTATTTATTTATTTTTTTTTTTGGTTTTTCTCCGGTACCAGGAACCGAACTCACGACC